AGAGAGAGAGAGAGAGACTACAGCGGATGAGCGTCACCGCAGATAAGTCGAAAGCCCTTTGGGCAAAAGTTGGGGCATCCGGTTCTCTATGGACCGCCTGTGTACGGCTTCCACTGACGATATGAGCTGCGGTGATGTCATTTGAGACTTTGACATGGTTTAATGTCAGACCTCTTGGCATCGGAGACCAAATTGTGTTATTACGCTAGAGGCCCCGCTTGGGAGGCTTGTAAAGCTGAGTAATTACACGACATCGCCGTTCAGGAATGGAAGCGTCCAATGCAGCCGGATGTCTTTTCTCTTGCGAACTGTCGTTTGGATCCTCGGTGGTGGTGGTGGTGGAGACGAGTGCTTCTCAAGTTTACTGAACCAGCATATTTGCAGGGAAACAGAATCAACTCCTCCCAGCTCATTGCTCATACACTATTCCAGTCAAAGCATGTTGATTCAGCTGGCCGAACAATTCCAGTCAGGTGACAGTTTAGTCAAGCTGAACGTGCGAACCGGAGCACTTGGAAAAAAGGTAGATTCGGGTGTGGCCTTTTGTGATTTTGTCAACATTTCAAGTCAAAATTCGTATCACATACTAGTATATATATATATATAGCAGCCTATAGCAGCAGCAGGAAAGACCAGCAGAATGTTTGGGAATGATGGCCGTCAATCCCCAAACTCGACAGTCCCGCCATGGCCCATCCGGTTAGGTGAAAACAAACGACAAAAACTAGTATTACGTGCTCACCTTTATGCATCTCTCCGCCAAAACGTGCGTCGTTTGAACATTTATCTGGGTACGCGCGAGCTGGCTGAATAATCTTCAGTCTGGGGTAGATGTCGTGCGTTAGGGCGCATGCACGGAATGGCGAACCGGATTCTTTGCTCTCTCGAACAAAAGGCAGAGGTCGTGTTACTTTGCAGTTTCTTATATCTGGAATAATATATGATCAGAATCATCAGTGGCCATGTACGCAAGATCACGCGCATCAAAGCACCATCGCACTCCTATGGTATGTATGTGGAGATCCCGAGAGGAAATGAACTTATCGTGGCGCTCAGAAACCGACGTAACGGCCGGTTTCGTCAGGTGCTAGTACCAAGGACGGACGAAGGGGCACGGCGCCGGCGGTCGTCGTCGTCGTGCTCGTACCGTATCGCATCGTATCTTCTCGGGAAGCTGCGTGTCCGTTGGGCGCGGCGCTCTGTGTGGGTACGCCGGCCGGCCCCGAGTTGGCCACCGGAGTAAATGCGTGGGCACGGCCACGGCAGCAACGCCGCTCTACCGGACGATTTTGTCGCCATTGGCTTCTCTTTCTCTGGTCAGTTCACACCTTTTCCGCACAAAGAAAAATCTCATGGCAGACTACATTTCCGTTTGGCACGTTTTGGTCTTCTCTGATGTTGGGTGTGTTCGTATGTATGTCGCTCCCCCTGCCGAACAGAACGTCGACGGAGACTACTCTCCCTTTGCAAAGACTCGAGCCGGTCAGTAGAGTGCTCCGCCCGGGGTAAAGTCTGTTTTAAACCTTGAACTCGTACGCGTGGTCGTTTTTAAACCCCGACCATCAAATCCTGAAAATCGGCACCCTCAACTCCCTAATCCCGGTTGAAATGATCGATATGCTTGACTAGATTAAATAACACATAGGTGTCTAAATGTGCAACTAGGTAAATAACCTATATGATGCAAACAACAACAACAACAAGTGCAAGCAAATGATAAAACACAATAATAGCTTGCACAAAATAAAGGAAAGAGATAACCACAAGTAAAGCCGGTGGATACGAGGATGTGTTACCGAAATTCCTTCCCTTTGGGTGAAGTATGTCACGCCCAATATGCGATCCTATCCAAAAGGAACTCGAAGGTCCCACCAAGGATAGACCCGCATATTGAAACGCTTTTGCAAGGTGGATATCATTACATCAACATTACATAATAGATGGGTATACATACATAAGGCATACAATGCCACATGAATACAATATCACAATACATAAGAGCATCATCCGACTACGGATGAATCACAAACAGAAACTCAAACGACATCCACCCTGCTAGCCCAGGCTGCCGACCTGGAACCTATCCCCTGATCGAAGAAGAAGCAGAAGAACTCAACGCAAGCAAGCATCGCTCTCGCGTCATGATCATCGCATAACCTGTACCTGCAACTGTTGTTGTAGTAATCTGTGAGCCACGAGGACTCAGCAATCCCATTACCATGGGTATCAAGACTAGCAAAACTTAAAGGGAAAGGAAGGGGTAAAGTGGTGAGGTTGCAGCAGCGACTAAGCATATATGGTGGCTAACATACGCAAATAAGAGCGAGAAGAGAGCAAGCGGAACGGTCGTCAACTAGCAATGATCAAGAAGTGATCCTGAACTCCTACTTACTTCAAACATAACCCAGAAACCGTGTTTACTTCCCGGACTCCGCCGAAAAGAGACCATCACGGCTACACACACGGTTGATGCGTTTTAATTCGGATCTGGTGTCAAGTTATCTACAACCGGACATTAACAAATTCCCATCTGTCAATAACCGCAGGCACGGCTTTCGAAAGATTATACCCTGCAGGGGTGTCCCAACTTAGCCCATGACAAGCTCTCGCGATCAACGAAGGAATAGACCTTCTCCCAGGAAGACCCGATCAGACTCGGAATCCCGGTTTACAAGACATTTCGACAATGGTAAAACAAGACCAGCAAGACCGCCCGATGCGCCGACAATCCCGATAGGAGCTGCACATATCTCGTTCTCAGGGCAACACCTGATAAGCGAAGCGTACAGGAACCGACGAACCAAGTTGCCAAGGAATGGTCCCGCACGGTGCTCTAGGTTGGACCAACACTTAGACAAGCATTGGCCCGGGGGGGCTGTAATAAAGATGACCCTTGGGTTAATTACTCCCAAGGGAAATATAGGTGGTGGTGAGGCAAATGGTAAAACCAAGGTTGGGCCTTGCTGGAGGAGTTTTATTCAAAGCGAACTGTCAAGGGGGTCCCATAAATCACCCGACCGCGTAAGGAACGCAAAATCCGGGAACATAACACCGGTATGACGGAAACTAGGGCGGCAAGAGTGGAACAAAACACCAGGCATAAGGCCGAGCCTTTCACCATTTACCAAGTATATAGATGCAGTAATAATATAAGAGATATTGTGATATCCCAACATAACCCTGTCCACCATGGAGAAATCTTCAACTTCACCTGCAACTAGCAACGCTATAAGAGGGCTGAGCAAAGCGGTAACATAGCCAAGCAACGGTTTGCTAGGAAAGGTGTCAAAGGTTAGAGGTTCATGGCAACATGGGATGGCTCGACAAACAGATGATAGGTAGCACAGCAAAGCGATAGAACGAAGCAACTAGCATAGCAATGATAGTAGTGAGATCCAGGGTAGCGGTCATCTTGCCTGAGATCCCGCAAGGAAGAAGAACGAGTCCATGAAGAAGACGAACGGGAGTAGTCGAACGAATCCTCACAATCGCAACATTACTGGAACTAAGAAGCAACACCGAAAAGAAACAAACAACATGGTAAATGCACAAGCATAAACATGGCATGATGCACAAACAAGTATGATGCATGTCCGGTTTAATGAGGCATGGCATGGCAAAGTGCACAAACAATACTACAAATTAAGTGGAGCTCAATATGCAAGGAGTTGCATATTGACAAAACACCACATGCAATTATTTAGTTTGATCTCGTTATAAGATACTCAACAATATTAAATGTTATTAAACATGGCAAGAGGTGAAACATAATGAAACTACCTATCTTGGCAAGTTTAAATGAGGCCGGAAACCACAAACAACAATTCCGGAAAATCCCATATGCAAATTATGGATTCGGTACTGTTCTGCCCTAAACACAATTTTATTGTTGTTAAACAGCAACAT